GTTTTTAGGTTGGATCTCACACGATTTTGCTCTTGAGTTTTACCCCAAAAGGCCTCATACCAATTCGAGTGACACAACTACATATCTAGCACTTTCCCTTTTCACACCCAGTTGATGTGGGATTGTGCACCTGTTGCTCGCCCAGTGTGGTAGCTTGCCAGTGCCACGGTACACCCGCCCACAAGGTCACTATAGCCTAATCAACAAATTTCCCTCCCAATGAACATTATTCTCCATCTTTGTTTTCTATAGGCGTATAATATTCGACTTCCATTCCTTACTCAATTTCACCTCGACTTAATTATCCAAATCAGTGCTCCAAATACTGCATGATAGGTTGTTAATCTTTATGGAAACACAATACCATCCTGCCCCTTTTCCTAGCTAAACTACTGTTATCGTCATTGAGTTCTCATTTGCTGTTCCATGTTCTTCTACTTGTGTGTGTCACATGTAGTTCTATTTGTCTTTGTGTCACAGTTCGCTCGACTCTGGAATCAGATTTGGAATCTGATACTGTTTCGACAAATCATGAAACACAAAACAAGAACAAATCACAAAACACGACAAAAAAGTAAACACGCCACACACGAAGAACACAAATATTTAGCATGGTTCGACACAAGTCGTATCTACGTCCATGGTAGAGATCTGGCGAGGTTTCACTATGCGAAAAACAGGAGATTACAAGTTTGCGCCCCTCAAACCCTAGCTCTCTGTCTCATTCTCTTTATGTGTGATTTTCAGTGTTCTCTCTGATCCCACTCCAAACCCTAAACACCCTTATATATATATATCGGGCTACAAGAGAGTACTAAATAGGGTCCAAGATCCGCAAGCAAAAACGGGTCTAAATTTTTTCCTCGAGGACGTTACCCTCGGGCCCACACAAAGCTCAATCATTTGGTCGACATTGTCTGGAGTTGATTTGTGTTGGCCCTTAGGGGCATGTGGGGGAGGGGAAAGGAGTAGTTGAATATAGTGGAGCTTGGCGTACTTTGAGCCAAGGTGGAGATTTTTTTTGTTGTGGACTGAATTTGGTGAATGTGACCCGACGACCTGTTGATTGGGGGTTCGGGGTTAGCGCTCCCAAGGAAGATTTTTGACCTGTTTTTTGGTTTGAGGGTCGTGGACCTAGTTAGTACTCTCTTGTAGCCCGATATATAAGGACGCTTAGGGTTTAGAGTGGGATTTGATTGAGAGACTGAAAATCGCCGTGAGCTAGAGCTAGGGTTTGGGGGCTGAAACTTGTAATCTACTATTTTTTGCATAGTGAAAACTTTCGCAGGATCTCTACCGTGGATGTAGGCTTTGCCGAATCACGCTAAATCTTCGTGTTCTTTGTGTGGCGTATTTACCTTTTCTATCGTATTTCTTGATTTGTTCTTGGGTTCGCTGCGTTTGTCGTAACAATACATTTATATAATCGTGCATATATATCGTGTGTATATACACACACATCATTATTCCATTAAAAAAATCACAGTCTACGCATGTTCCAAAGGAATTCTGGGGGATTCTGTTTTTTTTTTCCCTTTGCCTATTATTTCTGATGGTCAATCCACCAGCACATCGCTTGGGCCAGACATACATAAACCACTTCAAGTATATAGTCGCCGACCAAGGGAAGCAACACTTGTTCCCTCACACCAATGATCTAACTTTAGCTCGGGTTCCTTCCCATGATGATATTCCTATTGCCTTACGTAAAGGTACTCGTTCTTGCACCTGTCATCGTCTTGGACATGTTGTTTCCTTTGCTAATTTATCTCCCTGTTTCCAGTCATTTGTTTGTGCTTTGTCTTCTGTTTCGATTCTTCAATCATATTCTCAGGCATTATCCTCTCCTAGTTGAAAACATGCTATGGTTGAAGAAATGGTCTCGCTTCAGCAAAATAACACATGGGACTTAACTCCTCTACCTGCTGGAAAGTAGACAGTTGGTTGTCGATGGGTGTATGCCATCAAATATCATCCTGATGGTACAATTGAAAGGTTGAAGTCTCGTTTGGTAGCCAAAGGATATACTCAGACATTTGGGGTTGATTATTTTGGAACTTTTTCTTATTCGTATTCTTTTATCAGTTGTGCTATTCATAATTGGCCTCTCTACCAACTTGGTGTTAGTAATGGCTTATAACATGTAGACCTTCTAGAGGAAGTTTACATAGAGTAACCACATGGGTTTGTTGCTCAGGACGAGTCACATCTTGTGTGTCGGTTAAAGAAAGCCATATACGGATTAGAAGTGCCTCTAAGAGCATGGTTTGACAAATTTAGTGCTGTTGTGAATGAATACGAATTACGCAGGACTAAATCAGATCATTCTGTTTTTCTGAGGGATTGCAAAAGTGGTACCGTCGTCCTAGCTGTTTATGTAGACGATATTGTTGTGACAAGATGTGATGAAAGTGGTATTGATGATCTGAAGCAATTGTTGAGCACGCATTTTCATATGAAGGACTTGGGCTGATCCAGGAAGATATCGAAGACTCGTTGGAAAATTGATATATTTGACTATGACGAGACCAAACATAACCTTTTCTGTAAGGGTGGCAAGTCAATTTATGCAGCAACCCAGACAACCTCATATGAAGGACTTGGGCCGATTGAGATACAAAGGAAGCATGCATGTGATTTGTTAAGTGAGACGAGAATGTTAGGAGCAAAACCAAATGATACTCCCATGGATTCAAGCATAAAGTTAAGTCTCGATGATCCAGGAAGATATCGAAGACTCCTTGGAAAATTGATATATCTGACTATGATGAGACCAAAACTTAGCCTTTGCTGTAAGGGTGGTAAGTCAATTTATGCAGCAACCCAGACAACCTCATTTGAATGCAGTATATTGTATTTTAAGATACTTGAAAGGAGCTCCTGGCAAAGGGCTTGTCGATGTTGTTGGTTCACAAATGCTGATTGGCAGGAAGCCAAATGAATAGGAGGTCTGTATCTGGATATTGCACATTTGTGGGAGGTAATTTGGTATCGTGGATAAGTAAGAAGCAAAATGTGCAGAGGCAGATTATAGAGCAATGGCCCATACTGCTTACGAAATAATGTGGATAAAGTTTCTTTGACAAGAGATGGGATTCTCCATTGACAAGCCTATGAGAATGATTTGTGATAATCTGGCTGCTTTGGACGTTGCTATTAATCGAGTATCTATGAGAGAATTAAACATATAGAGGTAGATTGTCAATTTGTGATAGACTTGGTGATGAGCAAAAGGATAGTTACTACTTATGTGAGATCCAAAGATTAGTTACGAGATGTACTCAACAAGGCATTGGGGAAGTCTCATTTTTTTGAATTATGTAACTAGTTGGGAATGATAGATGTGTATGCTCCAGCTTGAGGGGAAGTGTTGGATAATAGTGGTAGTTAAAAGAGTTGGGGTTATTTCGTAAATAGCCAATACCTGTAAATATATACAAACACTAAATTTTTTGGGGTTCTATGTGTTGCGAGAACTCCCCTAAATTACTTTCTTCTCATTTCCTCTTAGTTGTAACAATTATTATTATTATTATTTTTACAAACAAATGGAACATGCATTTATGCAAAAGCTGAGTAAAGTAAATTTGATAATGCAGCTTGGAAAGTAACCCTAAAGACACACAACTCACAAGGTCTTATATGGACTTTAAGTACATGTTATTGTATTTCATATTTAAGACATGAAGTACATTATCTTGCTAGATTCACTAAATCTAGAGATTCTAGACTCATATTAAATGAAAGTTCCAAATTAGTATGTTTAAACTTCTTTTATATATTTTAAATTTAAGACGCATGCTTCCTTTGGTAGGAAGGATGGAACAAACTTCCATCGTTTGGTAGAGAGGAGATAAGGAGAGAAAGGATCATAGGATGGATGAGTCAAATTTCCTCCTCCACAAATTTTCTTCCCTCTAAATATGGACGGAAGAGAGGAGGGAAGACAGGTGGAGTTCTTATTAAAATTTTAAATTACAATACTATCCTTCATAAATATTAATGGTTCAAAGGAGTACACCATAGATAGTGATGAGTATAATGGTAAAAACAATTTAAAACTCTTTTTTCCCTTCTCTCCTAACAAACAAAGTAAGTTGTCAACTTCTTCTCTTCTCTTCCATCCAACCAAACAAAAGAAGAGGGAAGGACACAATCTCTTCCCTAGGATGTCTCATCCATCCCTTCTTCTATCTCTTCCATTCAATTTTCTTCCTTCCTACTGAACGAAACATTAATTACATTAGACCATAAGCCAAGTGAAAACTTTAATGGTATGTTTAAACTTCTGACAACAGCTTAGAATCAATGTATAGCTAAAGCTCATACTGAATCACCCTCAAATATTCATTATAGTCCACTAGAAATCATTAAAGACTAGTATCTATTAGATTCGGGGTTCATATAGTTTCACAATTGAGGTTCTTGATACATCCCACATCTGTTACACCAAACCGCTCCCATGCCTCCGATACACCACTGTCACTGCCATGGCTTGAAGTTTTGGGAGTCAAAGAGGGATGTGGAACATTTAACTCCTTTTGCTGATGTCTTCCATTGTCTAAGTTTCTTCCTGATCCAATTAAAATTCCCCCCGGCAGAATGATGAGGAAAATGCTTTTTTTAGTGTGCACGGACTTCATTTCAAGCCATAATTAGTCTTTTTCCGATATAAAGAGAAATTATGCATCCAAACAAATTCTTAGGCTTGTCAAATAGTGTCAGCGAATTTTAGCCTTATAGTTTTCCTCCATCTAACAGTTTTCTTATCTAGTTGTGGCTTGTTGCTTCATTTAATCATCGCTATCAGTCCCTCCTCTCTCTTACCTTTTTGCACATGTGTTTGTTGTGGTTATTAATTTATAGATTTTCTTTTTTGGAATTTAACTTTGGGTTATTTTTACTCCGGTGAACCCCATTTTACTGTTCAAATATTTAGTGCTGTTTACTTTGGATTAGTTTTGTTGTTTGGTTCTAATTCATCAGCTTTTGTGGGCTAGGCACTTTGATTGATGGAGAGCCTATAATTAACTTACCACCAAAAACAATACATTTGATTAAGGTGGACTTCTCTGCAGAGGAACGAACCTTCTATAGAAAACTAGAAGCTGAATCACGCTCAAAATTCAAGGTACCATTCTTGTCATTTATTTTTTGGTTGGTTATAGTCTTCGGCTTGCTCTAAGGAAACTTGGGATTATTGTGCTGGGCTAAGACGGTCAAATTACAGAGTGTAGGGCTTTGCTATTTTCACCCCAACCCTTTGGAACATCCATTTATTAGCAATCCCCCATTGAATGGTAGATGCCTTCCATACTTCTCAAGCATGTTGAATATCAAGTTGATCAGAAAGACATGTCTCATCCTTCTAACTGCTATTACAATTTCTTAATTTTTTGCTAAAGGAAACATGAATCATGGGTTTAATAGCTAGCTATTAGCATCTGGCCTGTGTGCATCCACATATGTCAAGATCTAATTTAAGCCTGGATTGGGTCTGTTATTTCGAAATTTTTGACTAGCACGGGCATCATGACTTGCATTTTGCCAGTGTGCCATTGCCAATAGCCTAATGCATAATATTTGGGTTTTCTACATCAACCAAGATGACTACGGCACATTGCAAACTGTTCTTTGTTTTAATTTAGGCATATTCAGAAACAATGTACTATAATGATACTTCATGCACAATATAGGAATCCAACAAATACAACTACTCCTACTAAAGTTTTTCAGAGTCCATTAGATGTGATGGCAAGCTAAAGTTGGTTGTAACCTAAGCTAGGTTTTGAGTTGTGAACGCTATTGCGGTGTAACAGGCATACTGCAACAACATCCGAAGGGTGTAATGGGCGTTGCTAATGGTATTGGGAATCGTGATCATGAATTTGTTTTAACCACGCACACCATGGCCTGAATAAGCCAATATTAAATTTGGGTTTGTAATGACTTCTATTGGAGTTTATTTATTTATTTTTATTTTTTTATTTATTTTTAATATATCAAGGTGATTCATTATGAGAGAGAACTTATACATTGTAGTAATTTAGCCGCTGTTGAGAGGAAAACAATTTTCTACATTGTATTTTAGCCGCTGTTGACAGGAAAATGATATTCTGAATTATTAATTTTTTGGGTAAAATGCTCTGACACCCCCTTAGGTTTCCATTTATTGCTCATAGATTAAACTTGAGCAAAAATTGTTCACACCCCGTCAGAGTTGATAGATGTTATTATTTTAACAGAAAACATACTTTTACCATTATACCCTGTTCTTTATTTTTCTTGTACACTTAAAATGAAAATTATCATTTTTGCCCTCGATTTGTTACCTCCCACCAAAACCAACATTCTCTCTACAACTTGGAAACTTTTAGAAACTCTGACATCTCTTGAACTCTCCATCTTCATCATCACTCCAAAGCTTTCTCATTACTCCACACATTCACACGCGGATTATCAAGGTTGATATTATGAGCTGACTGAGCTTAACCTTAATTGCAAGAAGCGATTGTTGTTGCAGCTCCAAGCAGCCTCGCTGCTGATGCGCATGTGCCTGTTTCAGCACCACCATTAAAACATTGGAAATTGGGGCTTCTATGGCGGAGGTTTTGTTTTGAGCGGTGGGGAGTTGGTCAAGGGTGACGCTGAAGCAGAGCTCGAGAGCATGGAAGAGGGTGCGAAGAATTGGGGTGGGATCGAATACAAGCTTGTCGGAGGAAGCCCGAAGGCGACACCTGAAGCATCGCCGTCACGTGAAGCAGTGTAGTCTGGCCGTGATTACGGTGGCCATATTCGGCAATTGAGTAGTTCAGTACACTCGCTGCCTCAAACGTTAGGGTTTGTGAATCGTACTTAATTCCCACTTTCTCTCTAGATAGATACTGACTCACTCACTTGGCAGCAAAATCACGATTTACAACAGGTGTTACAATCTGATAGGGAATTTAACTAGTTCGATGGTCTGTCATTCAATTTGAAGAATTTTATTTTAGATTAGGATTTCATTTTGGTTTCAAAAATCCTAGTTTGGACAGACACAAACCATTAGTTTGTGTGTCGCTGGGTTTCGCGGAAGGGTGTTATATTGGGCTAGGGTTTGGAAATGGGGAATTTTGCATCGAAATTGGTGGTGACGGTTGTTGCAATGGTGGACATCCATGTTTCCAACAAGGTTGGGAGGCTATCTGATTGTGTTTTAATCTCTGCACTTTCTCTTTGTATTTTCTCAACTCTGTATCTCTTCCCCCCTCATTGCATACTGCCCAAAAGAGGATTTCTGATCTCATGGGCCTGTGTTAAAATTGTGACCATATTTTCAGGCAAAGAGAGACTCAGAGTTTTATGTAATATGTAAAAGCTTAAGGTGCACCTCGTTGCAACTACCACTTATCTGCGATTTTATCTCAAATTTGGGGAGAGAGAATTGTACTACTGTACTAAAATTTGGAATAAAAAGTAAGTGTAAAATGCTCTTAAGTATTAACACGTGAGGGTATAAAGGTCCAATTAATTAAGGGTAAAATTGTAGTTGCAACAAGGAAGGGTAGTTTTGGCATTTAAAATTTTCAATTTAGCTGACTTTTGATGGGTCTACCGGTCAACTAACAGAAGGGGGTGTTGGGGCAATGTTAACCAAACTTGAGGGGAGGTCTAGGATTTTATTTTTATTTATTTATTTATTTTTTCACTAGTTTAATCTGTGAGCAATAAAGGCAAGCCTGAGTGGGTGTCAGAGCATTTTACCCTAATTTTTTCTTAGCAATCTACAGTTTTTATTTTTTGGGTGGGTGTGGTCACGAGGGCGGTTTAGGTAAACAACTCACACCCACACACACAATTTTGCTCCACATTGGGCTCAACCATTTTGCCCATTTGGAGAGGAGAGATTATACCACCAAGGCTATAGGCCTGATTTGTTACTTTCTAAAGTTCTCTAGTTTTTGTATTTTCCTTTTTTCTTTTTATTTTTTCTCAAAAATATATAATAATTTATGTGAATTATGTCTGTCAAAGTTGAAGAGAAAAATAGAAAATGAAGAATATGAGAATATACGTGGTTCAGCTACTAGGGATCCACGACACACAAAACTCAAAGGGCTACATATCTTTATTATACTGTTAATCTTTCTATACAATGATCATCTCTATTTATAGGTGAAAGAATACAAGTGATAAATTTAGAAAATACATTGATGGAAGATTCCTAAAATTAATACCATAAATCACTCCAATCAAATATTCTATAATAGGCTTAAATCTCTCCTATGAAATTCTCATTTCAAATATTATATCAAGGAGTAATTTAAGGGTTCCTATAATAAATAGTTGAAGAGAGAAATTAAAGCATGAAGAACACAAAACACAAGAATATAACGTGGATCAGCCACTAGGGCTTAAGCCCAGAGGGCTACATCTCTTTCATTACATTTTCTCTTGATTTTGTTTGCAATAACCACCTCTATTTATAGGTGAATTGGGGAAGACTTGTAATAAAGGAATTACACAGAAAGTCAAATACAATTATGGCAACAACTTGTTACCCAAGTATAGCAACTTAACATTCGATCAAGGAGTGATTTAAGGGCTAAACTCACTCGTATAATTATTCTCCAACACCCCCCCACAAGTTGGTACACGGAGATTTAACTTAAGTGTCCAACTTGAAATTAAATATAAAGTTGTTAAGAGTTTGAGACGAGTTGATCTGGAGATCTGAGATGAGACGAGACGAGACGAGTTGATCCAAAGATCTGAGATGAGTTGATCTGGAGATCCGAGAAGAGTTGATCCGAAGATCTGAGACGAGTAGAGTATAAAGTAGGGTATGGTAAACCTGCTCTGATACCATGTCAAAGTTGAAGAGAGAAATGGAAAATGAAGAATATGAGAATATACGTAGTTCAGCCACTAGGGATCCACTTCACACAAAACTCAAAGGGCTACATATCTTTATTATACTCTCTCGTAATCTTTCTATGCAATGATCACCTCTATTTATAGGTGAAAGAATACAAGTGATAAATATGGAAAATACATTGATGGAAGATTCCTAAAATTAAAACCATAAATCACTCTAATCAAATATTCTATTGTAGGCTAAAATCTCTCCTATGAAATTCTCATATCAAATATTCTATCAAGGAGTAATTTAAGGGTTCCTATAATAATATTTTCCATCAATGTGGAAATTACAAGTCACAACACATACATTAATAGTTTGTAATGCTTTGATTTCATTTATTTTTGAAGTTACTAAAATGTAAAATACAAACCATTAAATTAAAATATAAAACCAGCAAAAAAGAAAAAGAAATATTGTAAAAATCCTAAAATTTTCAAAAGTTGAACTTACAACTTTTATGCAATTTAAAACACAAAAAATTAGCATTTATATTATTAATTGAGAATTTGGAAGTGTAAATCACTTGCCCATTTGAAAAAAAGAATCTCAAAAGTAATTGAAAAATTGATTGATGCATAGATGCAGAGTAAGATCTACGAACAAAGTTTACTAATCTAGCATCAAACATCATTTTATGTTAGATTTAGGTGTCAAATAGAAAAACAATCCAAAATTGTTGAGTAGTTGAAAGCTTGGAGTGCTTTAATCGAAGATCTAGGTCGAAATAATATGTTCTTTGATTTTTGATTCAAATATCTAGGGTTTAGAGGAGTTTGGAGTTGAGAGAAGGATGTTAGATAGAGACAAAATTGGAAAAATAGGGTAGAAGTAACTATTTGGCATTAAAATAGGCCGTTGGACCATCATGGTCGTTGCAAAGCCTTCATAAAGTCAGTCTAAGTCTTTGCCAAGTTGCTTGTGATTTTCACTCCCATCGATACGTCGAACCTTAACAAAAAAATGACTCATGCTGTAGGAGTAATGAGTTGGCCAAGTTGTCTCGTATTGGTTGAGTTCTTGAACTATGATCTTGCCAAGCGTGGATACAAACATGAGGCACGGATACGATACGGCACGACAAAACATGAGGCATGGATACAGACGCAAGACTTTTTATGATAGCAGCGGATCCTGATAGTCTTGTTGCCAATTGTTATCAACCAGATAGCAGATTTGCTGCTTGGGAGGCATCTTCAGGATTGGGAGTTGGAGGATTTTTGCTGATC